TTTTGTACAACCTTTTGAACAAGCACTGTATATTTATTTAAAGTGACATTGAATCCTTAGCGTCATCACCTTCAATATCCAATTATTTTGCTATTAATCACCATCCCTACACCATTACTCTGAGAGTGTTTAACTTAATACAGAACACACCCCCTCCCCTCAAATTCTCTTTCCAAGCAGTCAGCTTTGGATTGCCTTTCCTTGAAGATTTGTTTTCACTGTGTGAATTGGTTGTGAAGCAAATTTCAGCTAGTTTATAACAGACTGTTTTCCCCAACAGTATCAGCAACTTTATGAGGCATCTCTGTAAGCTTTCTGAGCTACATGTCAACATATGTTTCCTACAGGGAGTGTCCTTGCCTGGGAGACTAGTGAATACCCTAGATAAGACACTAAGGGGACTAAGGTACCATGTCCTCCCTCCACTCATTCCCTATCATGCTGTAATAGCCAGACTTTTTCCCAAGTGAGTCGCTATATGGCAGGATTGTAAATTTATGAGCTGTTTTCAGTTTTTAAGAAAATAACATTTGCAGTTGTAGAAATCTGATGTCTGTGTTATCAGAAAGGTTTTAACCAACTCATAATCTGAGCTGAAGCCACCTGATCTGCATTTGACTTTCCTGGAGCCTGCAGAGTAGCCGAACACTTCAGTAGCTTTCAAACCACTGCACGAGGAGTGTTGTTGCTATCCTAATGCTCTGGGCATGCAGGTGAAATTTAAACCATTGATAGGCTTTTCTCTGCAGAAAGAGAGATCACATCCCAGTATCCCAATGGGAAAGTCCACGAGGATGTACTGTTGTCTTATCAATACTTGTTTTCACTTTTCTGACCTGATCTGCGTAATTCATCCATTTTAACGTTAAAGATGTATTAAGCCACAGAAGGAAAAAAACAATGTAATGCCTTCCTTCCTTTCCCTCAGAGAACTATTCTCTTTCATAATCAAGGCATCTTTAGGACCATAGGTAAATACCAGGGTAGCTATATCATTTCTGAATATGCTTATTTGTACACCCACCCACCCACCCACAACTAATCAACTCTGTCTGTCCCAGTCTATTTATTCTCTAATGCTAGTTTAGTCATGCCCACTGCATGTTAACTATCAAATCAGGGAAGGCACTGTGTGAGTGGACTGTCTTGGATAAATAGCAGTTCCTAAACAGTGTCTCTGACTTATAATGATGCAAAATGAAGTTTATATAGAATGAATCAGATCCTTCCTGTGACGCTATCCAAGAATGTTGTCATTTCACTCTTGTCCTGCCTAGCAAAGCAGTGTTTCTTCCTCAAATATCCAGAATAGCTCAAGTCATTACCCTCTTTCTTTCTCTCTTATTTTCTTTCATTCACAAAAATAATACACTGTTTTCTCTTAGGATGTAGGAAACTATACATTCTGGTATAAGTCACAGGGAAGAGTCTGAGCTGCAAAGCTGCATGTTGGGGGAAATAAGAAGTATTTATAGATATTCACTAACTCAGATTCCTTATAAGAATACAATAAAAAAAAAAAGATGTGGACATAAAAATATTCTAACAGAGTTTACAGATTTGTTTTCCATTCCCTCTCCCTTTGCTCAACTTAGACTGAATTGTTTCATGGATGGCAATATTGATTTATTTTACTTACCTGCTTCCCCATGGCCAGAAATAAAATATTCCAAGAACACAATCAGCATGATGCCTTTATGCTGCATGGCTGTCAGTAAAATATCTGTCCTCAGTGAAGCAAAAAATAGCTGCAGAAATCTACAGGTTTGGTGCTTGCATGGCTTTTCTATGTTTTCTTTCTTTCTTTCTCTCTGCTCACCTTCCTCTTAGTGTAGGGGCTGGGGCTGCTGTCTCATTCTTCTCGTTTTCGTTTGGGTCCAGAGGGCTTTTTTTTTTTTTTTCAGGACTCAGATGCCTTCTGGGTGTCACCCGTACATTGCTTCCAATAAATAAATAAATAACACGGATTTTCTGTGTCTTCACCCCTCCTCATGCAGCAGGCGAGGGATGTTCACATCCTTGATGTAGCCCCTTAAATGCACCATCGAGGGCGGATGCGAAGCGGGGAGCTCTGCCCGGTCCGGTCCTTTGCGGTTGTTCGGATGCTATATCAAAACTTTCTTTTCTGCTCCTTGCTTTCTGTGGGGCTGCGTTTTTGGCTTGGCCGCGGCTGCCCCCGCCACCTTTCCTTGCCGCGGGGTAGCGGCGGGGTGCGCGTACGGCGTACCCCGCTTTGTTAGCTCTCTGCCCCGGCCCCTTCTCCCCCCCGCTCCCTGCAGCAGAGGGGCAGCAGAAGAGCCGAGCAGGCTGCTGTCGCTGAGAGATGATGAGAAGCAAGTGATTTCTTGGCTCCTCTCTCGTTTTATTTTGTTTTGGCTTATTTTATTTCACTTCCCTCCTCCCTCTGCTGTCACGGAAGCCACTTCTTCACACAGCGTGCGCCAGGGGGA